CCTTTGGCCGCAGGAAGAGCTCGCACCCTCCCGCCTGGAATGTCCTCACTGCGGCCGGCCGGCAGCCCCGCAGGGGAAGGGTGTGCTTGCCCTCGCCTCAGGGCCAGCCGTCACGGTAGCGCCAACACGGAGTGTTCCTATTACTGCAGACTCCGTGCGCGCGTCACTTGCCTGCGCGCACAACACGCAGCGCTAGCACCATCCTGGACAGATACTGTGGGTGTCCAGCCGCTCACGGTCAGCAAGCACAAAGCCGTGGTTAAGAGCGCGCATGCTGTGCCCCGCGCCACTTCTGCGGTGCTTTCCCGGCGCTCAGACCCCACGGTGGCGTGACGGAACCAAGAGGCACCGCACACAGCCCCCGCACAAAGGGAAGTGCTCAGCATCTAGCTCTCTCCTGCCAGGCCGTGCACGGCTGCAGAGAGAGATGAGGCACTGTGGGCCTGATACCTCGCGACCAGGGACATGGGGATGGCGCACCCTGGAGGAGTCCTCCATCTACTGTGTTCCCGGGGCTGGGTAGCCGGGGGGAAGTGCGCAGGGAGCAGCGCGGAGAGATGCCCGGCTGTCTCACACGTGTCCGGGTGGGTGCCCAGTCTGAGCGCAGAGAGGGGAGAACGCAAACACCGGGCATGGGGATTAGAGAAGTGGACATGAGTGGACACGCAGGCTGGACACTCCGGATCGATTCTAGAGAGGGGAAGGCGAGACAGTCGAAGGTTCACTGGTGCCTTCGCGTCGACCCGGGAGTGTGGGGAGCGGCTTATGGCCCGCAGGAAGCCGAGCCTACATATAGTTCAGCTCAACACGACCCCGATACCGAAGGGGCAATCGGTTCACCCAGGAAGGGAGGTTGCTGCCTCACTCTGCTCCATGAGCACCGTGGAGAGCAGAGCAGGAAAGCAGGCAGTGCAGAAGGCAGCATAGCAGCGTGCGGTGACAAGTCGGCAATGCCTCAGGCACGCACAGGTCAATGGAGGTGATCCATAGCAGCAAGAGTCAGCCGTCCACACAACAGGCCCGGCTAGAGCAGAACTGACGGGATCAGCACACAGAAACGTTATGTGATCTGATCCCTGTGGTCAAGGAGTGAAGGCAAAGCTGAACAGGAAAAAGAGAGTCACGATGAACTCAAGGCAAGAACGAGCCGCCGGCAAGGGGAACACACGGCGTCGCAGAACCTTTGAATATGCACTCTGTTCTGGAGGGCGTCCAGATCAGATGAGCTGGTGCGGACGACAAGATTCCACTGAAAATACCCCACGGAGCTAGGCCAACTGTGGTGCGATGCAAGAAAAAAAAGACGGGGACAAGTCCAGAGCACATCAGAGCCCCTAGAAATGTAGAAGAAGGTCTCCAGAGGTCACCAGAAACTCTGGCTGACACAGGCATGGGAGTGGGTAGGAATACCAGTGAGACCGAAAGACGGCCGAAGTGATCAGACAAGAGCTCGGCCTACAGTCTCGTGAGCTCGAGTGACTGCATGTCTAGCAACTGAGATTTTTTAGTGAGTTGAAGGTGCAGAGCAGGTCAGTAATGGCCAAAAGGTAGCAACCAAAAAGGAAGAGGAACCCTGGCAGAGGCCACGGGGAGTGGTACTCAGGACAGCCAGGAGGGGGCAGGACAGGCCCCCTGAGGGAACCCTGCAAGGCATGTGTGAGTTTTGGCTCATCCTTGCAGAGCCCCCGGCCACGCGCCATCAGGGGAGCTCTGTGGCGAGCCCGTTGCTGTGGCTTTTGCAGGAACCTGAGTGTGAACTACTGCAGGAACCCCTCGGGACACGCCAGCCCTTGGTGCTACACCAGTGACCCGAGCGTGCGCTGGGAGTACTGCAGGCTGAACACGTGCCCCGCGACCACTGCCCAAGTCCCAAGCGTCCAGGAGACTTCTACCAAAGGTGAGTCGATGTGGCCGCCCACTCCGGCTGGGCTCGCCGTCAGACGCGCTGCTCCCACCAGCACGGTGGCCATGGAGAGCGGGTTTGGCGTGGGGACCTTGCTCCTCCCCCACCCCGGCCCCCACATCTCGGGGCCGTTGCTCTCCCCAGGGCCATGGCGACCCCCTCCTTTGCCCCTTGTCCAGGGAGTGTGTCCTCTGCTGCCCGCTCCCTCCTGTGGCTCCCGCCCACCCAGGAGTCTCTGTCATGGTCCTCGAGAGCCCTGTCCGTCGTCTCTGGCTCCGCTCTCACCTCTCCTCCGTCTGTGCTCTACGAGTGCTTAGTTGCAGCTCCCCGCGTGTGAGACCACGTGTCTACCGTCTCTGATATGTTCAAAGCTGCTGTCTTTTCCGCCGCTCATTTTTGTCTCGTGGTGTGCACCTTTCTGCAAGTGACCTGCCTCATGCTTCCTTATTCTTTGGTTTCTGCGAGGCCATCTGTCTTGGAAACCATCGCTGAACCAAGTTGAGAATAGAGTGGAAGTTAAATTTCTGGGTTGAAGTCCTAAAGAATAGCATCTGCTTGAAGAGACGGTCGTCACTGAATTGTGCGGCAATAGCCAGATTTCATGTTCAGAGCAGAGTTTAGTAGACGGCCTTTCGCAGTCACTTGGGGCAAAGCATGCCATAGAAAATAGAGTTTACCAATACTTTCTTTGGAATCAAAGGGGCAGTGAAATGAAAAGTGTTGTTGAGGCAAACGGCTCAACAACAAAATGCCCCTTCCCCACCTGAAGGAGCAATTCCCTGCACTGGACAAACACCTGACAGAGAGAGAGAGGGAGAGAGAGTTAGAGGGAGGAGGGAACTCCACAAGGCACTCCCTGGCGGCCACATGCAATGGTGACCAGAGAAGGTTCCCTGATTAGCAGGTGAGCCTCACGGTGGGAGGTGGAGATGCAGGCCTCAGAGGAAGAGACAACAAGGATGAATCTCTTCCTTGTGGCAGAGACAACTTTCAATGAGAGAAAGCTTCACTTTTGTCCAACCTTTTAATCCACACCGAAAACATACATGTGCAGATGCAGCTAGGGGACGATCTCTGTCTTGTGTGTCTACGTGACAGAGACCGTCGACAGCTCAATGCACAGTGGAGCCTCTGGGATGGAGTGTCGTTGTCATTCTCTTTCTTGAAACAGAACAGGCGGTTCGAGGTCCTCTCTTTTGGGGCTTCAGGCAGAAACCGGTCGTTCTTCTGGACCTGCCATCTTGTGTGCAAGAGCCTTTGTCAAATTGGCG